TGAGTTCGGTTCCCGGTACCAGAGAAAAACCAAAAAAAAAAAAAAAAAAATAAAGTGAACGATAACAGAGATTGTTTTATGCACTAACCGAGGACGGGTGTAGAAAATGCACCTCACGGGAAGCAGCGGGCTGCGCCACGCCGGGCCCACCAGCGGGCCCACATTTCCAACTGCGGCGCTGCCAAGGCTGGGCACCGAAGAAAGGGCAGATCTTACTTCAAAAGTCTCTGCTATGTCTAAAATAATTTGATGCCAGGCACATGGTAACGCGCGTCTGTGATCCCAGCGCTCAGGAGGCTGAGGCAGGAGGGTCCCAGGCCAGCCTGGCTACATAGTGAGACCCTGTCTTGAAAAAATAAATAAATAAAAATAAAACAAAACACTTTGATAAGCTCTGTGCACCAAGCTTCATCTCTGTCACCTGCTCTGACAGAACGATGTGGCGGCTGCAGATGCACACTGTGAACCGTGGACCGGCTGGTGCCCTGGGAGGCTGGGTTCCCTTCCACAACTCCCCCGGGAGGAAAGTGCGTGCAGCATGTTTTCAAAGCGTCAGAGGTTGGACTCGGCCCTTGGATGGTTCATCTCCAGCCGCAAGTTCCCTGCAGACATCACTCATCTTGCGGTCTCCCCGGCCCCGCCCCCAGCATCTTCTCCTCCTCATTCCCAACCCAAGGTGTAGATTTCTCTCCTGCACTGGTTTTTAAAGAAGGTCTCCAGAAATGCAGTTTCTTTTTTGTTTTGCTTTTGTTTTGTTTTGAGACAGGGTTTTGCTGCCGAGCCCAGGCTGGCCTTGAACTTGCCATCCTCCTGCCTCAGCCTCCCGATCTGAGTGCTGGGATCACAAGCAGACACCATCGTGCCAGCTAGAAATGCAGCTTCTCTGGCCTTCTCAGAACCCAGACCCGGTGAATCAGAACCCAGGCCCAAGGCCCGGCAGTCTGTGCCCGACAAGCCTTCCAGGGGCTTCAAGCAGGTTTTCAAATGACAAGGTTTTCGAACCAGCTCCGCTGCCTGGTCCTCCTGCCCCACCGCTTCTGTCTTAACCTCCCGCTCCTCGGCCTTCAGGATGTGGCCCACCTCGGGCCTCTTGCCCGGAGAGAGGGCCGGGCATGCACGGTGTCCACACAGAAGGGCCACCTGGAAGGTGAGGTCACACATTCTAAGCGAGGCCTAGGGAATCATAGGCAACCTCCTTCGACAGAGGGACAGTAGAATCCTGGACAAGAACGGGCTAGCCCAGTCTCTTGCTGAGGAGTTGAATTAAGACTAGAAGCACCCAAAACCAGGCATGGTGGCGCACGCCTGTCACCCCAGCACTCAGAAGGCTGAGGCAGGAGGATTGACACAAGTTCCAGGCCAACCTGGACTACATATTGAGACCGCCTCAAAAAAACAACAAACAAAAAATAGAACCATCCAAATGAGGATGGAATCAGCTGTCTGTGTGCTACTTCCACTCAGGTGCCCAGCACACACTCAGATTGGGGCAGTACCACAGCCAGGGCTGGCGTGTGACCGGCTGCAGCAGGACCCGGACCCTGCGATTCGAGGCTCCAACAGTTCTGGGGGCCACCTGGGTCCTCAGTGACCAGCACCTGCCTCTCCCAGGCTTGTCCCTGCATAGCCCCCCTCCCCATGTCCCAGTCCCAGCCGGGGGCCACCTGCACAGTCCCTGGGCTCCATGCGGCCCTGACCCTCAGGAGCAATGACTCCCTTAGCCGGCAATTTTCAAACACTAGTTTGGGGACCTCTTGGTGCCCCACAGCCTTTATAGAGAATCCACAAGGTCAGAAGTCAGAACTATTTTCCTGACACGTTTAAGTTTTCACTCGGGCCAGGCATGGTGGTGCACACCTGTAATCCCAGCACTCGGGAGGCTGAGGCAGGAGAATTGTTGCAAGTTCAAGACCAGCCTGGGCTACAAAGTATGCTTAAGGCCACCTCTACTGCATAGTGAGACTCTGTCTCAAAAAGACTAAAAAAAGTTTTCACTCCAGCTCTCTCATGTACAGACAGAGCACAGAAAGTGTCCGCTGTGGCTTTAGGCACAACTACAACCAGTTCTGCCAAACCCTTACATGAGGCCACACACTCCACACCGTCCAGCCAAAGCTGCCTTTTGTGAGAGTGAGCCGGGGAGAAATGAGAACCCAGGGATCTGTATTAAGCCAGACACGAAGCAGATTTGAAAAATGTAAGAAGGACACTCTTCACTGCCTCCTTGTTATTTAGAAAATGTAGTTTTTATGCAAATAGTTTATCAGATGTTATAGATTTATTATTTTAAATGAATTCACAAATACTTTCTAAATTTTCCATTTAAATTTTTTCTTTTTATTTAATTTTTTTTGTTACTTTGCTTTTTGAGACGGGGTCTCCATATGTAGTTCAGACTGGCCTTGAGGGTCTGGGGATTTAGCTCAGCAGCACAGCGCCTGCCTGGCAAGCACAAAGTCGTGAGTTCAATTCCCGGTACTGGAAAAAAAAAAGCCCCCCCCACCCCCCACCAAAAAAGACTGGCCTTGAACTAACTATGGGGCCAGGCTGACCTCAAACTCACAGTGATTCTCCTGCCTCAACCTCCCAAGGGCTGGGGTTACAGATATGCACCACCACACCCAGCTTCCATTTTAATTTCTTATCCCATAAATCTTGATTGATCTAACACACACAAACATAAGTCCTTTGGCTTTTTTTTTTTTTTTTTTTTTTTTTTTTTTTTTTTTAGATTTTTTTTTTTTTTTTTTTTTTTTTTTGGTACTGGGAATTGAACTCAGGACCTTGCACTTGCCAGGCAGGTGCTTGTGCCACTGAGCTATATCCCCAGCCCACATAAGCCCTTTGGGATCCTAAATTATTTTTGTTTGCTTCTTGCAGTTTGAACCCAGGGTTGTACACATGCTAAGCAAGTGGCCTACGCTGCGCCACATCCCCAAGCCTCTCATTGATTCTTGGGGAACAGGGAAGCTCAGCGCCTCTGCGCACGTGCAGAGCACCCTGGGCCAGCAGAGCAGAGCCTGACTTGAAGATGCCTCCGCCGGCCCCGCACAGTCCCGCCAGGTTCCCCAGGGTTTTCGGCAGCACGGACAGACTCCTGCTTTATGATTTTAAGTGGCTCAAGTTGTTACAGAGACTCTACTTCGAATTCAGACATACAATATAAAATTTCAAAACTTCAGAAAATTCAAACCAAAAAATTAACCTGAGAAACAAGGCTGCTGTTCTACTCCGTTAAAGTTTCAGAGATACAGGAAGAAACGAGGACCCTGTAAAATACTCTGTGCCCAAGAACGCCACAAATACAGCCTAAACGACCCGCCGCCAACGGGGAGCGGGGGGCCTGGGCGATGTTCTCAGCATAGGAAAAGAAGCCAAGAAAAAGTCTGACGTGGTGGCACGCACACAGGAGGCTGAGGCAGGAGGCTCACAAGTTCAAGCCCAGCTTGGGTGACTCAGCAACTTCAAGAGACCCAGTCTCAAAATAAAAAATAAGGAAAGGCTGGGGATGCAGCTCAGCGTGAAGGCTCTGGGTTCAGCCCCCAGTGCCACAGAAAGAAAAGGAGACCACATAGACGTGGGAGCTCTGGCTGCAGAGGCTGCCACAGGGCCGAGCCTCGAGCGAGAGGCAGGTCTGCCTGGCCAGCCAAGGGTGCGGGTGCCTGTGGGGACCAATGCCCTGAGGAACGAGTGAGCCATCGCCTCTGGGGAGCCAGGAGCATGCACGCATTTCAGGTGCTGGGATGACAGGTGTGCGCCACCACACCTGGCTTGAAATTTGCATTTAGAGACCCTTTAATCAGGGAAAGAAACATTCCACATCCTTCTATACGTGAGGAGTCTCACATTTACATCGCTACGGAAGGACTCTCAGGAGCCTGAAGACAGGAAAACTGGGAGGCGGGGTCGTCATTTAATCAACAGCAGGAAAGAAGAATTCCGGCACTCTTGAGGCTGAGGCAGGAGGATCTCAACTTGAAGCCCAACCTGGGCTGCTTAGCAGCTTAGCAAGATCCTGTCTCAAAATTTAAAAGGAAGCAAGGGCAGGCTGGGACTATTGTGTAGTGCAAAGGTCCTGGGTTTAATCCCTCATAATAATCAAAGAAAAAGAAAAACAAAAGAGGGCTCTTGGGCCCCTTGGGCGCTAGTCAGAATTCCGGGTGCTGAGGCTGCCAGTTCCCTGAGCATCGTTCTCGGGGCTCAGCGTCAGCACGGGCCGGATTCGAAGCTCATCACTGACCAAGCTGAGCCGGGGATGACCGACATCGCTGGGGGCAGATACACGGCTCCGTGTTACCTCAAGTGCTCCTCAGAAACACGCCCAGGCGACGCCCACACCCCGTTCGCAGGGACGGGCCCTCGGGTGCCACAGCCCAAGCACACGCACCGGGATCAGCCACCTGGAGTCCCCGCGGCACCCAGGCCACTTCCTCCTGTTCTGCATCTACAGCACTGCTATTCTCCTGTCCCTGACAGAGCCCCTGGGCCCGGGTCTCGCCGCCCGACAGTCTGGGTTCAGCTGTCAGGTGCCACCTTAGCCCTCCCTGCTTCTCCCCACTGTTCACCGTCTCAGCCTCAGATCACTCCTGTCCTGATCAGTCTGACAGAATCTCTTCAAAGGAAAATCTTCCCTGCACCCAGGACCAAAGTCCCGAGTCTTCAGTGAAACTAAAAGTTTCCAACAGAAAGAGTTTAATTTTATATTGAGTGCATGGTGCAGGGAGCATGCCTGCCATCCCGGCCCTTGGGAGGCTGAGGCAGGAGGATTCACAAGGGCGAGAACAGCCAGGGCTACATAGTGACTCCCTGTCTCAAAAAATAAGTAATTGGGCTGGGGATATAGCTCAGTGGCATAAGCACCTGCCTGGCAAGTGCAGGTACCACAAAAAAAAAAAAGTAATTTTATTTTGAAAACTTAGTTACACCAACCACACCCTCAGCAAGGGTCACACTCACCTCCACGGAGACCTCCCGCCCCCGCGCACTCAGCACTCACTCACCCAGGAGGGCCGTCTGTGCGTGGGTCCGCGTGGCTCTGCCCCGGGCCGGGGGCCTGGCGTGAGGCCGCTGTCTGGCCATAGCGGGAGGCATGGTCTGTCCGAGCAGCAGCAGCAGCAGCGAGCAGCCCGCCAGCATCTTGACCATTTTCAAGAGCAGGAAGAGGGCCGAGGCTGGGACACACAACGGAGAGGCCATGAGATTCCCGTGCCCTGGACCTGCGGCCGCGACCCATGCCCACCTCTCCACCAGCTACGCTCAGCAGATCCCATGTGTGCACCCTTGGAAGTGTCCCAAGCCCTGCTGCCCGCTTCTCCTTGAGGCCTTGGAGCACAGCATGCCCAGGGGACCTTCTCATCACCTTGGCCACCATAAGACCGAACAGAAGCTGGAGTGGCGCACACCTCTTGTTCTAGCACTCAGGAGGCTGAGGCAGGAAGATCTCCACAATTTCAAGGCCAGCCTGGGCTACACAGTGAATTTGAGGCCAACTCAAACTATATAGTGAAACCCTATTTCAATAAACAAAAACAGCTAGGCGTGGTGGTGCACATCTGTAATCCCAGCACTGAGATTACATCCCAGGAGGCTGAGGCAAGAAGACTGCTGTGAATTCAAGGCCAGGGGGGACTACACAGGGAGACTCCAGCTCAAAAAAACAAACAATGAATGGAAAACTGGAGGGAGAATATCTTGAAGCTTTTTACTAATTAAGCATATTATCAATTAGTGATGGCACTGTGAAAAAGAAAAAACATCTGACAACTACATCTCTACATCTGAGAACTTCGAATAACAATATTCCCTCAGTCTATTAACAGCAAGTAGCACAAACTAACCTACATAACTGTCCCCAGAAAGTCACGCATAGCCGATCCAGGAGCATCCCAGAGACCCCGCCGCTCACCGTGACGCAGGGCTGGGTGCTAGGCTGAGTCCCTGCACTGGGGCCCAAGCGCTCCGCGGGCACTGACTCAGTCCACCTCTTCCCACACCCCGGGCTTGGTGGGAATCACAACCCAAAGGGCACAGGGTCCCTAGGTGCAGCAGGGACAGGGCATGGCTGGGCGAGACCCCGGCCCGTGATGCAAAGAGAAATGGAACAGCAAATACTCCAGCGTGGTGTTTGTTCGCAAACCGCTCCGGACTGACCCAGCGATGAACTCAGCTCTGAAAGCACGCTTTCCACACTTGCACTCAGGAAGCAGCTGGCTCTCCGCTCTGCACTAAAATGATACTAAAACTAGCGAATGTTTGTTCTGCGATCACTCTGGACCAGGCATGCGGCCAACGGCTTTAAAAGTACAAAGTGATTTAATTGAATTCTTCAGATGTGAATATGCCCGAGGTCGCATGACTCACATGGGGAAGGGTCCACAAGCCCCCTCACGTATTACAGATAACTACGCCCCCTTCCTTTTTTTAGTTTTTTGAGACAGTGTTTTGCTATGTCTTTGAGGCTGGCCTTGAGTTCACTATGTAGCCCAGGTCAGCCTCAGACTCACAGCGATCCTCCTGCCTCAGCCTCTGAGTACTGGGGTTACAGGTATGCGCCACCACACCTGGCTCTGCCCCCGCTTTTAGACAATTTACATTTCACTCACTGAGCTGGTCTCTTCCTATAGCTTTAATGTGGAGACTCCTTTGAGAAAAAGAAAGAAAACTTAGACTACCTTTCCTCTTCCTCTACTCTTAAACCTATCTGACTTTCAAGCTTTCTTGGTACAGTGGGCCCTGGAGCTGTGGCTGTCCCACACATGAACAACTTGGGTTAGGACTGGAATGTTAGTTTTAACTTACAACCAAAGTCTGGAGTTTATGACCCAAGGGCCGGCCGCGTGCGCTTGGTCTCAGGTGCAGATCTAACCTTTAAAGAGTTCTGGAAGGAACAGTACCACGTCCTTTCCAGTGTGGGTTAACTGAGAAATCTTGGGCCAGTGTCTCTCTGAGGACACCGAGATCCGCCTGTACACAGGAGAGAGACTTCGAAGGCTGTGTAGAGGAGCCTGAGCCTTCAGTGGACAACCTGAGTTACAACCAGCCCTTAGGAGTTCACAAGTCAACAGTCCGTTTTATTGTGTTTTTTTTTTTTTTTTTTTTGTACCGGAAATCGAACTCAGGACCTCATGTTTGCCAGGCAGGCGCTGCACACCGAGCTATCTCCCCAGCCCAAGGGTCCGCGTATGTACCAGCTGGTCTGATAGGACTCTGAGTGTGCGGTGTCATTTGTAGGTGTTCGGCTATGTTAATGGGGTCCCCCTTCCCCAAACATAGCGTCCACGTTTACTCAGTGCAAATGCGGCCAGCACGCTCAAGGGGCTGCCCCCCCCCAACACACACACACAGTTCCCCTGGCACTAAACTCTCACTCTGGTGTGCTGGGTCCTCACTTCCAAGAAACAAACACCATTTGTTTCCAGAGGCGAGTTCAAGTCACTCCCTCTCACCAGAAAGCACTGAGGACAGAGGGAGGATGGGGAGATAAAAAGAAAACCAACTACTACTTCTAGCTGTTGAGCCTTTACCTCTTCCTGCCTCGGTTTCCTCATCTTTAAGTTGAGGTGCTGGGGATTTAGCTCTGTGGCACAGTGCCTGCCTGGCAAGCTTGGGGTCCTGAGTTCAATTCTTAGTATCCAAAAAAAAAAATCTATAAATTGGGGATGACCACTGGCCTGGCTGTTGCATGGATTCCATCAGCTCCTACATACAAAACCAGGGCCAGGCACACAGTAGCTGCTGCATAAGTATTCGCTATCATGATTATTACGATCTTGTGCATGCAAACCAATTAATAGAAAGTATATACTGTTAATTTTGTCATAACATTTTATGTACTACATTAAACCAACTCTTACACTTATGAATACTATAACAAAACAATGATGGAAAAATTTGTAAGTTCTAAATATACATGAACACCTGAAAGTATTTGAAATGTTTTTTTTTCAAAAGGCAATGCAAACAGGAGTGGTGGCACACGTCTGTAATCCCAGCACTCAGGAAGCTGAGGCAGGAGGATCCTTGCAAGTTCGAGGCCAGCCTGGGCTACAAAGTGAGCTCAAGGCCAGCCTGAACTGCATAGCAAGACTCTACCTCAAAAAGACCACACACACACACACACACACACACACACACACACACACACACACACAACAGTATAGTGATATTAATGTCAGTCAAGAGGGTGTTTTTAATTTTTTTTTCTTTTTTTTTAAGACAGGATCTTAAAAAAAAAAGACAGGATCTTACTATGTGGCCTCTGGCCTCTTGGAGATCCTCCTGCTTCAGCCTCCTGAGTGCTGGGGTTACTTACACCACCATGCCTGACCAAAATAGTTTTTTTTTTTTAAAGATACAATGGCAGTGAAACAAGAAAAAAATAAGAAAGCACCTGTGTCCAGGTCAGCAGTTCTCTCTTGGTTTGGCATTCTCAGCCGTCAGCCTTTCAAGAGCAGGCACCATCTCTAACCGGACACTGAAGAGCTCCTTTCACAGAGGAGCACGTGCACAGGACCGTGCCCCGAAACAGGGTAATTCAGCCTGAACCGAGTCCGCGAAGCGTTGGGAGTGTGGAAAGAGTATTTTACAACAAGGCAAAGGCCTTGACTTTTGCTCTAGCAAGTGTTCGCCTCCCCATGGACCATGGGTCTTCCCTGTGGGCTTGGCCAAGGGGCTGGGGAAGAAAGGGAAGTGCTGTGTCCCTCTCGGCGCTGGGCTCTCTGGGCATCGCTGCAGGAATGGGCGGGTGAGCAGGGTCCCTCCAGGGCCAATGCCACACACCGTCCGCCTTCACCGGGCGCCACAAGCCCCTGGCTTGCAGCAGTCGCTGTCAGGTAAGAGGCACGGCCTGGAGCAGAGTCTCAGCCCAAACCAAGTGAACTAAGTGCTGCTCAGGCGGGCAGAGAAGGGGGCCCACTGGCAGTAAGTGCACCGTGCACCAGGCAGCACACTGCACAACTAGCGAGGTGAAACAGATCCCAGTCTGTGGGCGGAACCCTCACATTTATGGAGGAAAAGACTCTCCCGGGCCTCAGAGCTCGTTCCCCAGAAAAACAGACTCTCCGCTGGCCACCTCTCAGGCAACCAGCCCACTTATTCAAAAACAAAGAGGGAAGCTTGGCTTAGGGGCGCATAGCTATAATCTAAGTACTATGGGAGGCTGAGGCAGGAGGATCACAAGTTCAAACCCAGTCTGTGCACCACACGGGGACAGCACTGTGGCGGTCCCAGAATGGTGCCTCCCTGTCGGGCTCCGAGGGTTTCCTCCCGCGCCTACACGCAGCCTCCCCCACTCCAGGCCCCTGTGTGGACCCTGCCCATCCCTGTCACCGTCACCATGCCCTGCGCTGTGGAGTCTGAGTGGCACTGTCTGTCACCTTTGCCACCACCCCGGGCCCTCCAGGATGAGCGCGACCGCTGGAGGCCAAGGACCTCATCTCCCCACACCCCACCACCCCGTCCGTCCCCTCCCCAGCCTGCTCGGTCCACGCCACTCAGTGCTGAATCCCCTTTGTTCCTAAAGCTCGAGATCTGCACCCCAAATTGGCCCTCGCTCTGCGCAAAACCCAGCGTCACGTCTTCCCCTGCGTGCTGCGTCCAGGTGGAGGAGGCAACCCTGTGACAAGGCCATCTCCCATCTTCCTGAGGGGAAGGTCCGCACACAGGCTCTTGGCCAACTTGAATATGTAATGTTTAAAGAAGAGACCTGAAGTAGCACATGTCACCTAAGGTGTCAGTTTAGTCACACAGGCATATTTTAAGCGTTTTAGATTACAAAATATTAATTTAGAAATAATTCTTTTTCCATTAAAAATGTTACATAAGTGAGGTATGGTGGTCCAGGCCAGTCATCCCAGTACTCCGGGAGGCTGAAGCAGGAGGATCACAGATTTGAACCCAGCCTGGGCAACCTTGTGACTTAATGAGTCCTTGTCTCAAAAATTAAAAATAACAAAATGTCTGCAGATGTAGCTCAGGGCAAAGGCCCTGGGTTCAGACCCTAGTATGCCAAAAAAATAAAAATTAAAATTAAAATGTCATCTAAAAATAAATTTTCTCTCATTTCATAAAACCGTGTTCTTCAATGCTTCACTTGCCACCTTCTCTAATGCTGAGACCTTAACCCTAAAAGATCCCTTGGGGTCTCCTGTCATCTTTACTTTCCTGTCATCTT